GAAGGCAGTATGGTAATAGGACTTCTAAGAATGGGGGAAAGTCTCATTGCTACCTCTGACTATGTAACCTCAGGTCACTTCTGTATATCTTTTGTAGACAGTGTACTGGATTATCTCAGTGGTCTCTTGTGCCTCTATAAATCATGTTTGTCACTAGCTTAGTGTCTGCCCTATTTAAAAAGAAAACCCCAAAGCCCCTCAGGCACCATTTCTTTCATCACCTTTCCTTTCCTTCATGCTTCTTTCTGTTTGTCCTGTAGCCACTTCCTCTCATGTAGTAGCGCACTGGGTTAACCCACAGGTCATTCTTGATAATCTGTTGTGGGGTGGAGGGAGGAGAAAAGAGCCACAAGTATAAGCCCTAGAACCCACTCATAATTTCTCAGGCACCCAGGGGTAAGTCTGGCATGACTTTCCCTTGCAGTACCAGGGGGGCTCACCTCAGCAATTCTGTCAGCTTCTGGGAGGCTATGGTTGGAAAACCAGTTGAAGAAGCTTTCTCTGGAATCATGGTTTCTGCGATTATAGGCCTGGGGTTCCTGGCCACGGTGCCAACGTATTGGAGTAGAATGAGACACCAAGCGGCCTAGAGGAAGAGGAACAGATGCATAAGAGACTGGAAATGATAATATTGGGCCACAGATTTATTCTGGGACTGCCTCTTACCTGAGCGGTTGTGCTGGAACTCCTTGACAATCACCATGTTTGTAAAGTATGGGTTGGTCTGGAAGTACAGCTTCATCTTGTAGCCCATGGAGATATGTCTGAGATCCTGTACCTGCTCAGAGTTGGGGTAATAGTGGTATCTATCCCTTCTGTGGCCCTTCCCACCCTCCCCCTCACCTCTAAGGACCAGATTCCTTGGCATCCTTCCTTGGCCTGACCTGAAGATTGGTCAAGTAGCGGAAAATGTCTTCATCACGTTGGTTGATCAAGACTGAAATTCTGGGGTGGTTGAGGAACTGATGAGTGGAGCAGTTTAGGTCAAGGATTTACTGTTCAATGCCAAGTAGGGCAAAGCAAAGCAAGGTCAAGACAGAGGGTTCCTTCTATGTTTGAGTGATGTATGTGGAGTAGGTGAGTGCTTATGCAATGTTAAACTTCAGTGTTAGGTAACCTTGCTATGGTTCATATTTGCTGAGTGTCTAGATGCAATGGGTGTATGACCATGTCCATGTTTTCCTTGTCTCTTGGTGAGAGGTTCACAAAATACTATGTGTCTGGGAGCTGTAAGCCCAAGTGTAAGTAATGATGTATTTGGTTACTGAGGGCCTTTGTTTACGTGATGTTACATGTATAGGTGCTGATGGTCATTGTCCACATGATGTATGAATGGCTCTGGAGGTTGGTGTGCATAAGCCATGTTGCCTCATATCTAGATATAGAAATTATGTATCTACATGATACCCTGTGCCTGTCTGCTGAGGGCCTGTGATCATGTGACACTTTGTATCATGGATCATGGGACAAATATATATATATATATATATATATATATATATATATATATATATATATTCTATTAATATGCTAAACCTATATATTTCAAATATGTATACAAATATATTTCCAGGGGATGAGCTCAATGCTCACCAATCATGGATTTGAGGCTTCCTGTTCTACCTTTTTCTTCATTTAACCACTGACCTCCACATCCAAGTGGTCTTTCTCCTGATTCTTCAGGTGGTTCCATCCCATTTCTATCCTCTCCCCTCTAATGGAGTACTTACTTTACACAAATTTGAGATTTCTAGGCATGTAAGCAAAGACCCAGACTTACAAAGCCTTGTGTGGCTTCTACCCTTCCTGTAGAGTGTATTTGCCTTCTTTCCTTACTGTCAGTTCATCACCTGTATCTCCCTCTTCTCCTTTCACTGTGGTCCTATTAATAGGCTGTGTGTCTTCTCTGTTAGCCCTCCCTCTTTTACTGTCTGTGATATATATATATATATATATATATATATATATATATATATATATATAAAATGTTATGGTGCTACTCTTTTCCCATCTGCAGTCTTTATTTTTATGTTATTTTGTCCTTTTGCCATCCCTCTTCCACTCAATCTAGAATCTTCTAATGGGGCTTCATTCCCATCTCTGACCCTCCCCCACACCCCTTGTTTCTCTTTTGCACACCTCCCCTTTAGTCATGGGCTCCTGGCCCATGCGTACTGATGAGAAGGATACTGCTTTGACCCAGAAGCCTGGGATATGCTGGATGATGAGGTCTCTGCGCTCCAAAAAGGGTCTTCGCATCTGGATGAATTTGCGCTTGAGACGCAAGAAGGCCTTGCCTGCCTTGATGTTCACCGCCTCCAGATCCATTTGAATGCTCTCCAGGGCCTGCAGTATGCTTTCCATCCTCTGGGCACTCCTGCTCTCCTTCACCTTTCTCTGCTTCCGACGACGACGACGACGACGACGACGCTGCCGCTGCCACCTCCTCACACTTTCCCTTTCATCCTCATCCTCATCCTCCACTATGATGATAGCCTCTTCCTTCCTCTTTGGACAAACTAACATCTGGGCCCCCCACCCTCCAAAGCTACAGGTTTCTAGGGCTTTCTCTCCAGCAAGGGTGCTGGGCTCTGCAACCTGAAAGTCAATTTCCAGGCTTCCTCCAGAGGTTTCTGAAGAGGGAAGTGTTTCCATGATCCCTGTGGGAGAGGGTTCCCCAAATCCTGCCTCTATTGCAGGATCCCAGCCTGGACTCCCAGCACCCAGGGTGAAATACGCACGGATCCCTCCCTCCTCGAGAATGACATAGGGCAGTGGTGGGGGTAGAGTGGGGCCCACCCCCCTCATGTCAGCCAGCACCTGTGCAGCCTCTGTTTCTTCCTGGAGTCTCGGACGCTGCTGGGGTGGAGGCAGGGGCAGTCGCAGGAGGGGCGGGGGTGGCGGGGGCGGCAGGTCTCGCTGACGGACTTCTGAGCTGCTCAGGCGGAGGGTCTTGGCCGGAGGCCCCGCATCCGGGCGGTCCATGGTGACTGCACTCAAATCTTAGGGAATTGCACTGATTCTTCTGCTCTCAGATGAGACCGTCGCCACCAGTCACACTTGAAGCGGAGCCGCCACACCTCACGCGACCAGCTCTGCTCACCACCTCGCTCCGATGTCCCCTCCAACAGCGCCTGCCCAACTCCCACAGCGCCAGACGCTGAGGCCCCGCCCACTCCTTGAAGGCGTCTGTTCTGCTCAGGATTGGCTTCAGGCCTCAGAGGTGGCGTTAGCGTTCCCTCCACCCTTCCCTTCTCTCACGCAATCCGGCTTGCCAACTCTACACGTCATCATTTTCTAATTGGCCCCCTTCGCACCCACCAATCATCAGGCTTGCTGCCCCAGTGATGGGAGTAAAATTTCAGGGCGATTGGCTGTAAGGAAAGCTAGGGAAGAAACCGCTCACCCCCGTTCTTGCAATGTTTTATCCAATGGGAAAAGTACCAGTGATTGTGAAGACGGAAAGACTAGACAGGGGAGGGTGAGTGGGAGTGCGCAAGCACCAGGAAGCGAGATGTGCTCAAATGAAATCCCCTTGCTATCTTTCTCCCCGCCCACCTCCCTTGAGCAACTACGCACTTCTTAAATCTATCCCTTCCCCCATCAGCTTATGCCCCTGAGGTGAGCGCTGTAACCCTTAGATGCAGGCAGTCTTGACGTGCCAGTAATTTAAGTATCTGAGGTCTTTGGTTTGGTGGTCAGGTTTTGACAAGGCTTTTTCCATCTCTGCAAAATGGCTCCAGAAACCATCACAGACTCAAAAAGTAACTTCCTCTGCGTCATTAAAAAAAAAAAAAAAAAAAAGATTGTGATTCAACTAATTTGCTAGATTTTTCTAGAACTCTAAAACTCTTTGTCTAAATATTATTTCTCCTCCTAACCTTTCCTAAGTGAATGCTGTTATTAATTGTACCCTAAGATTTTATTTTATTTATGACTAGAGATGGCTAGTCTTTGATGAGGCATGACGGTGGAGTTTTGGCTTTGCTTCTAGAATTCACATCGCAGGTGAATGCCACTGTAACTCTAGCCAAATGACTGCCCACCTCTACCCTTTTTTTCTCTAAACTAGACGTTCCTAAGGGAGAGGAGATAATTATTGCCCATTGCAATCTTGCTGTGATAAGCAGAGGGAGGGAACCTAGGTATCCATCGCCAGGAGAATGGATAAAATGTAATATGTTTTAGATGGATTACTAGAATGAGCTTGATCTGTGTATAGCAACATGGCTGGATCTCTCAAAAACATAATGTTGAGTGAAAAAAGAAACAGAACAAGATTTATAGTACAATACTGTTTATGTAAATTAAAATACATCAACACCATGTATTTTCCACAGATACACATAAGTAAATAAACACATGAACTGTGGTTTGGAAGGACACACATCAAGTACAGAAGAGTGGTGCCTGTGTGGGGTGGAAAAGAATGGGATCTGGCATGGGTGGTGAAGGGGACAAAATAAAATAAAAAAGGGCCTTGCATGGATCAATGATGATATAGTGTGCCAAGAACTGAGTAATATGGCCATCTCAATTCTGTGCACCTGAGGGAATAAGTAAACCAATAGTAAATTAAATGAGTGATAAGAAGTAGGACAGCTGGGTAGATCCCCAGACTCGGGCTTTTTCTTTATGTCATCTTTCCTTCTGAATTTAGTCAAAGTTCAACAAAGTCCCAGCTGTATACAGTGGAACCTTCAGAAGACCTCCCAGTTCAGACTGAGGCAGTTCCTCTAACAGCCATTACCTTGCAAGGACCATTTCTTAATCCCATTGCCTCCATGTTTGACCCCTCCTCCATTCCAAGTTCCTATTTCCATGGTAGTCCAATTTCAGAAATACCTTGTTTGAATTTTGGGGTGGGGATGGAATCTGCAGACATTGGGAAGAATTGGGTTTCTAAAGCACCCTCTCCCCACCTGGTGCTTAGAAGCTGGGCCAAGGGAAGACAACCTTATGAGGTGGGATT